TTATTTATTTATTTGACAGAGAGAGAGACAGTGAGAGCAGGAACACAAGCAGGGGGAGTGGGAGAGGGAGAAGCAGGCTTCCTGCTGAGCAGGGAGACCGATGTGGGGCTTGATCCCAGGACCCTGGGATCATGACCTGAGCCAAAGGCAGATGCTTAACAACTGAGCCACCCAGGTGCCCCTAATGCTGAAATTTTAGAATGAGAATTCAAACCTCCCCACAATAGGTCAGTGTGCTAATAGAGTAGGAAGATGCTAAATGAAGGATTAAAGCAACGGTCCTCTACCGAGAGAGATCCCCTAACCCCTAGCAGGAGACATTTGGCAATTTCTGGAACCAGTTTTGTTATCACTGAGGGTGGGGCATCCGGAGGGTAGAGACCAAGGATGTTGCTCAACATCCTATAATGCCCAGAACAGCCCCACAAGGAAGAATTATCGGACCCAAAATATCAATTGTGCTAAGATTGAGAAACCCTGAGTTAGAGAATTAATTTTAGAGGGGAAAAAAAATGACAAAGGGTGAAGAAACGTGATTGAATTTATGACCTCAAAGTGAAAGTGTGTTCTGGCTAGAATTTGAGATAAGAAAAGAGTCTTAATATTGTTAGTTTGATTGAAAAATTATTTCAGTATCTTTCATAGTTTAATGGGATTAGCCTCGTAAGAAATTTCAATCAGCCATGGAGTCAAATTCCTGGAAAACAGCCATGATAAGAAGTAGTATGTTTTGACCACCTGCCATATGCCAGGCGTTTACTTCATGCTTTACAAACATCTTATTGAACACTCACAACTCTATGAAATGTGTAGAATTTTACCCTTTTATATATGATGAAATTTTGGCTTGTGAGAGAGTGGTATAGCAGAGATATTTAGTCCTGTGTCCACCAAACCTTCTTTCCTTTTCCTCCTGGACCATATTTTCCACCCTTTCTTGCACTTAGGAGGGCTCTGTGACTGATCCTGGCAAAAGGAATGGGTGAAGTGAGATAGCTTCCAGGACTGGCTCCTAAAAATCTCTCCCATGTAATCCCTTGCGTGATCTCTCTTCCCTCAGCTGCTGGCCAGATACAGAATCCGTAGAAGACTCCAGGAGTCCTGGGGAATGGCCTGGATCCTGAATGACTGTGTGGAGCAGAGCTCCCCCTTCCCCTCAGGGGACCTTAATGTGACAGAGAAAAAAACTTCTATTGCATGTAGCCATTAAGAAACTGGAATTGTTTCTTGAAGCAATTGATGTGCCCTGATTAATACAAGTAGCTATTAAGTAAGCTGGAATTTGAACCTGTGTTTTTCAGTTCCCAAAGCCCCCGTTCATGTCTACTACATTATGCCACAAATAAATGATTATTAACCTTTTCAAGACAAGTACAAATTATTTTCAAGCAACAGATAGAGAAAGATGTCTATAATTTTCTCTGTGCTTCTTCTGTATAGAAAAGTCAAAGTATATAGCTATCATTGCAATTTTCTCATTATGACATTTTCATAAATTGATACAAATATAGCCATGGAGTGTATAAATATTCAACAATTTTAGAAGCAGATAAAAATGTATGATTTTATGATTACCATATGAATAAACACTGTTAACATGTTCCTCAGATGTTAACTAGATGCCTACAAGTTCCACTTTCCAAGCACAAAATGCAGGTAAATAGGTTACAAAGATTTCAGAAAAAAACATGGAGAGAAGAGAAAAAAGGTTTCTAGACTAGAAGAACCAAGTGCTGCTTACCAGTTCCTATTCCAAATCAAATTAAAATGCTGAGACTCTTGATGAATGGTAGAGGCCATCAGGTAGGAAGACAAACCCTGCATTTCCAAACTGAGGAACCAAGAAGAGAGTCTCTAAGACTGACCATGGTCGCCAGGTTGAGAACTCCTAAACAGAAAAGATGCAATTTCATATGAATATGTATAGCTTCCTCCAGCATATAGGAGGTACTCAAATACCTATCGAATGAATCTGAATAGTAGTCTATTATTATAATTCTAAGATCTAAACACAATAAACCCATACTGATTTTGTTGGTTTCCTTTCACTTCTTTCTACCAATGATTTCACTGAACTCAACATATTGAGCAAATACTGTTGCAGCAGCGATCATTTTATGTTGCCATGATATGCTAAAATCAGAAGCAGGTACAGTTCATGCCATTTGCCTGAAATGAAATATGTGCTAAAAAGGGAGGAAACTTCTAGTGTGGCATCAATTTCCATGGCATTAATCTGAGGACTCGCCCAGGAAATGAAGTTTTGTGCTCTCTCGGGAACAGCTACAAATTTTCTTGACTCTTGCGTGTAAATATTTTCATTCTTTGGGGGACGATTTTTTGGTCTTTAAGCTTTGAAGCTTATTGGCAACAATATTTTAGCTTATTGTGGATCACACTGTACCTCACTGTACGTTTAAGATGTTTTCTTACAAATGATTTGCTATTGATTCATTCATTCATTTATGCATCCAACATTTTATTAACTACTCCATGCTGTGCTCAGGAGATACCAGTTACCCAGCACGTCACCCAATTCTCACTGTTGTGATATTCTAACACAAATAAGACAGAGCTCGTAGTTTAGTGGGAAAAGTAGACATATAAACAGGCAATTTACAAAATAATTTAATAGAATATGGAGATAGGGACACCTGGGTGACTCAGTCGGTTAAGCCTCTGACTCTTGATTTAGGCTCAGGTCATGCTCTCAGGGTTGAGGGATTGGGCCCTGCATTGGGCTCCTTGCCGAGCGTGGAGCCTGCTCAAGATTCTCTCTCTCCTTCTCCCTCTGCCCCCCCCAAAACTCATGGGCACGTGCACATGCACGCACATGTTCTCTCTCTCTCTCTCTCTCTCTCTCAAAACAAACAAACAAACAAAATAGACTATGGAGACAAAATGAGAACTAAATAAATGGTGGTCTCCTCTGTCTTACCCAAAATGTATTCATGTTAAGCGGTATCCAATCTCAATTAGCATTCAGTTTTTCTCAAAATTATCATTAACGCTCTTCTTCAGTTGCCAATATTGTCAGCAATGTAGTAATTATTTTTAGAAATCTGTGACTGCAAAGCTTCTCAAGCTATTTGTTCTCATTCTCGGGGCTTGTAGGGAGGGTCTGTCCCAAGGATGATCCTTGCCCTTCCCTGATTACATGGAGACAAAAGCGTGTCCAGGGGTTGGATGATGAGCTGGGTTATAGGCTGAGGACCTGGGGCTCTTTGTTCCTTGCTGCGCCCCCTCCATGTGACCGCACTACGAAAGCCAGTGGCCAGGGTTCTGCAAACATGAGTCAATCCCCCAGAAGAAAGAGGACAAGTGAGTATCACCCCACACAATATGGTCACATTACTGAACCTCCTGATGACTCATTTTCTCCTTCATAGCTGGGTCTTGAAAAAACACATAAAACCCGATAACTTTAATTATATCAATCCATCTGCTCAGTTGTCCCCCTCTTGTGTTTTCCTGGCTCCCAGTTGTGAAATCAGGGCATGTGGATATTTCCTCAGAGACTTTTCATTAAATGGTATTCAGCACAGAGAAAGGCAGTGTTGAATCTTTAATGTTCCACTATCCATATAATGTGGGCCTCCTGTCCTGCTTGTTTGGGTATAAATTTTATGGAAACTGCATCTTTCAGGTATGCTAAGCATACAGCGCCATGGGAGCTCCACCCTGTGGAAAGTAATCCAAGGATGTTTAAATTTCTGTTGGACAAAACGCATGCCTCCCTTTTAATGATGAAATTGGTTCGCTCAAATATCAAATAGCATGGTACTCTCAGGATTCCTCATGATTAAAATTAAATTATTGAGGGAGGAAAGAGTCTGAATGGGAATAATTTTGTGGGCCTCTCATCAGTGAGCACCGTGCTCACTGTGTTCCAAGGAAGGCCCCTCATCTCATAGAACACAGTGTAAATGGCACCCCCTGCTGTTGTGCAATGCTATAGCCCGGGTCCTCCACAGCCTTTGCCTCTAGGAGTTTTGATGTGCAGAAGATTCATTTCCATCAGTTACTGGATTTAGTGATATTTTCGGGTGAACACAAAATGCAGCAACGTTGCTGTGTGTTCATCTCTGGGAAGGAAGCCAACAGTAAAGGAATGAGATCACAGTGGGAGGCTTTGGAAACTCTTTTCTTTGTGTTCTGGCTTGTCTATTGGCTGCCTCATACACAACCTCTCTCTCGATGCAAAACATCTTTGGTTGCAATCCACTCACCGCTTTTTCGCATGAGCAAAACTACTACTTAATTGAGACTTATCAAGAAATTTGTTCTCTACTAATGTCAATTTTCTTGCCAACACATTGCATTTTCTATGCATCATTAATGCCATTGGGCCCATCTATTTCTGTTACACAGCATTTTTTTCCAGAGTTAAAACTATCCAGATAAGGCATCAGCCAACAAAATAACTTTTTTTTTTTTTTTTTTTTGCCAGACTGCTAAGTGAATATAAGCTGTCTTGCGCATTACTCCCTGGGCTTGGCTTTCTTGCTGTGTTCAGAAACCTATCCTTTCATGTTAATCCAACAAAAACATCTATCTTCCTTTTTTTAGTTCCTGCATTTCTGATGCCTTGTAGATCCCTACTCTGCTCTCTTTTTGATGTTACACTCTATACCACCAAGGTGGTGATTCTGGTTCAACCTCTCACATTCTATGATTGCTACCCTTACCTTCCTAATTAATATTATACCACCTTTCCCTTTCCTCACTGTATACGTACCTACTGCTCACATGCTCACCTCTCTTAGCAGCCTACCTTTATCCAACCCGGATCTATAGCCACTCGTTTTTATAAAAGATAAAGGTAGCGACAAAAGCAGTGTAATAGATGTATCTAAGCAGATCGGTAATAAAAATAGCTCCCAAGTATCAGGTACTATGCGCACGACTTTCCACCTATTATCTCATTTATACACATCATGATTTGCGAGGTAGTTATTGTCATCTTAGTTGTTCAAGGTCACACAGTAAGTGGTGGTGCTGAGATTCAAAACCAAGGTCTCGGGGCGCCTGGCTGGCTCAGTTGATAGAGCATGCAACTCTTGATCTCGGGGTCGTGAGTTTGAGCTCCATGTTGGGCACAGACGTTACTTAAACACACACACACACACACAACAAAGACTCCCTGCCTTAACCACTCTGCCGCACTGCCCTTCCTCCTTCCAGTTCTCTGGGTTTTCTCCCCCAGGAGTCAACGTTTCAGCCTGTCTCCTCTCGGAGGTCTTCGGTGTTGACAAGACCTCAGTCTAGATCAGATTAGTTTTAGCCCTTTATTCCCCTTGCATTGTCTCCACTGAGCTTTTTAACATACAGGGAGCCCTTTCTTAGAATAGCTGTCACCTGGGTCTATTGTAATTTATACCTATTGACACTATGCTGCAGGTAATTCACCCTTGCAAACTGTCACTTTGCACTGTCACCAGAAGTAGCTAGCAAAGGGAAATTGTATGCATGGTGCCTATCAACAGAGGGCCTTGGTATCCCCTGATGCAGCCGACCTTACGTGGGGAAAGATGAGCCTGTACCTCTTGGATCACCAATAAGAGCATCCTTTGACGACTTGGGAGCCAGAAGAGGGGATTAACTCCTGAGATATGATCACTATTGAAATGAAATACTGGACAGGAGCATCTGCATTTTCTCGAACTTCCCTCAATAGATCTTTTACCCAGGCAAATGCGGTGATTGTACTGACCATTTCCTTTTGCACGCTCAAAGATCTTATCCGATGCTTCATGGGAGAACCACAGAGCTTTTGTTAAGTGGGAGAGACTTTAGAAATTACTTGTCCCCACCTTCTGTTTAGCAAGTTAAGAAATCGAGGTGCAGAAAGACTAAGGGATTCGCTCAAGGTTAAACATGGTGAAGACTCCTCAAATATAACTAAAGTGTCTCTCTCTCCCTCAAATTAATACCATGGCAGTCACATACATTTCCATACTCCTTACTTTTCTCTGCTTCAGTGGTGCCTATGATAAAAATAATTTATAAATTCAGTAATAGGGAAACTTATTTCCACCTTCAGATGGCATTTGCATTTTCCCCCATTCCTGTGGTTTGAAACAATTAAAGCATCAGCCCTGACCAACATGCAGC